CATGGTCCTTGCCAAGGCCAGGCCTCACGTGTCTTCATCTCTGGGTCCGGCCAGAGCCAGCGTGGGCCAGAGGGCTGGATGCTGTCAAGGTCGTGTCGAGGGACAGTGAGCCTTCTTGTGGCAGGCTAGCCGAGGGAGGTCCCGGCTGACGTAGCAGCCACTCTGAAGAAAGCCTTATCTGCAGAGATCAGATGGACAGCAGGAGCTGGCGTAGGCCCCAAATGAGGCTGAGTCACACAGGCCTTTTCTCTTCACTTGCGTGCTCTGACTCAGGCTGAGGGGCACTCGGGGAGCCTTCCACAGACGCAGGGCACCTGGCCTTCCTCCCTGTGCGGACTTCTTAGGAAACGTATCTCACTGCGGGTGAGGAGGACAGAGGAACGGAGGGCTTCCTGGACCTGGATGTCTTGCTCCTGGGACTGTGATTGACAGCCTGACCATGGTGGTCACCCAGCTGAATCTGGAGTTCCGCTTCCAGGGCAAGAAGCTGCGAGGCTTCAGCTGTGAGCTCACCCGGTCCCCCCACGGGGTCTTCCCTGAGACCACCTTCACCATCACGTGCCAGATTGTGGTGCCCCTTCTGCTCTCGGGTCTGGGCATGATGACTGCCGGCCTGGTGATGAACACCATCCAAGTGCGTACTGGGCATCGGAGGGGCAGTGTGGGGCCTGGGATTGGGTGGATTGGGGCTCCCAGGCATCACAGATAGGACAGGGGTGGGGATGCAGGGAGCCCCCGAGTGGGGCTGAGCCCTAAGGCAGGCCTTGAGGCTCAGTGGTGCTAACAGATGGGTCCTCCGGTGCCTGAGATTTACAGCTTCTGGGCCCTCTCTGAAGGTCAGCCCTCATGAGCCACATGCGCGCCAGGAGCTCAAACTATTTTCCTTCCGGGGAATGCAGACTCCTTAGGCAGGGACTGAGGAGTTTGAATCCTGGCTCTGCCATTTGCTCAGTATCTGAGAGAACTCCTATCTGAGAGAACACTCAGTTTCCCCATCTCTGGATGGGACTCATAAGTGCACCTACCTTGCAGGACTGTGAGGATGGATGACCAACGGTCCTTGTGTTGTGACCTGAGGGTGATGGGCACAACTCCCTCCAACCCTCAGATTCTTCGTCGGGTTCTTCCTTGGGAAGACAAGGGACAGAGGTCAGGCTGGGGTCCAGGCCGGCCAGGGGCTATGGTGGTCTCCATTGGTAGAGGTTCATTTTTGTATACTTTTGGGGGGGGGGGCAAAAGGACTCATATCTACTGGGTTTATGTCCAGGAGGGGAATTGGCAATGAAAGGTTCTAAAGGGCTGAGTGCCATGGTCATCTACGTGCAACAAAACTCAACCCTGGCAGCTCCAGGCACCAAGGGGAAGCTGGGAGGCTGTGGTCATGATGCACAAGTGAAGAATCATCACTCCTGATTGGTTTCAGCCTCCCTAGTGCCTCGGCTAGATGTCTTTAGAGTGTTGCTGGAGAGGACAGTGGCAAGATGTAAGACAGTTACACAGATTTGGATGGTAGGGTGTTGGGGAACACTAGGGGTTAATTCAGTCCTGGCCGGCAGAGCAGAGCAGGAAAGGTGCTTGGAACCGGTGGGTGGAGAGGGTCTGGGTGAGGAGGGTTGAGTTGAGAATCCTGCATTAGAGGGGCTGTGGGATATCAAGGTTCAGTCAGCAGTTGGGTCCACAAGTGTGACGCTCAGAAGGCAGATCTGAGCCGGGGCTGTCACATATCACCAGCACAGAACCCAGTGCGTCAGCCTGGGTGCTCTGGCTGTGAGGAATAGAAAATGTAACTCAAAGTCACTGAACCATTTCTGATCCCTGTAAAGATGTCTACAGATCAGGCAGCTTCGGCGCTAGTTCACTCGCTGGATTACCAGTGTTACCCAGTATCCAGGGTCATACCCTTCTTCTTCTTTACCTTCTATGTCTGTTGACTTTGACCCTGAATAGATCCCTCGTGATTGTGTGATGCCCCATGTGTCTAGACATGACATCTCAAATCTCCTGGGCCACGATATGTCCCAGCCCACACCCAAGCAGCCACTTGCAAGAAGGGGGGACGCATGAGGGGGTCACGGTCCAGCCCTCACCTCCTCCAAGCCGTTTGTGTGGATGGAGGGTGGGGTGGCTCTGGACGTTAGCTGCAGCCTTGGAAAGGAGAGGATTGGACAGAAAGGGGAACTGAAGACCGAGTATGAAGGGAGGTCAGGATTAAGTCAGAAGGTCTGCACCCGCAGGTCTCCCGAACTCTGGGTTTTCCTGTTGGCAGGAGCAGACTTTGCATAGGCTGGGTGAATCAGGGTGGGAAAGGATTGGAGCAGTCAGGGGTGTCTGGTGGCAGCCTGATCTTCCCTCGGCTTGGTTCAATCTGTCCTTGAACGGCGTTTCTCAGCTGCTGAATTGGACTCTTGAAAAAGATTGCCCCTGTGTTTTCTGAAAAAAAGTGTGTTAGTTTGGTCAAATCAGCCCACAAGGCTGTCCAGTATCCTGAGGACTAGGCAAACCCTTTTAAATCAAGGGTTATCAGACTTTGGTGAAATGTCTAACCGTGTAGCTTTCTTATATAGAAAAAGGAAATAATTTTTTGGGGGGAGGGGAATAAAATTCTTTAATTACATTTAAAAAAGTTAAAAGGTTGGGAGGAGGAAAAGCCTTCAGCGGAGGTCAAAGTGGAGAGATTAGAGAGGTCAGCATAGGACGGGGATGTGGTCCTGGGCGCCAGTGTGGAGAGCTCGGAGGTGAGCCTATCACACAGGAGGAGTCTAGTACATATTTGTGTGTGTGTGTGTGTGTATGTGTGTGTGTGTGTGTATGTGTGTGTGTATGTGTGTGTATCTGTGTGTGTATGTGTGTGTGTATGTGTGTGTATGTGTGTGTATGTGTGTGTATGTGTGTGTATGTGTGTATGTGTGTGTATGTGTGTATGTGTGTATGTGTGTGTGTATGTGTGTGTATGTGTGTGTATGTGTGTGTGTATGTGTGTGTGTATGTGTGTGTATGTGTGTGTGTGAGTGTGTGTGTATGTGTGTGTGTGAGTGTGTGAGTGTGTGAGTGTGTGTGTGTGTGTGTATGTGTGTGTGTGTGTGTGTGTATGTGTGTGTGTATGTGTGTGTATGTGTGTGTGTGTGTATGTGTGTGTGTGTGTGTGTGTGTGTGTGTGTGTGTGTATGTGTGTGTAAGAAGCCCTGGCCCAGTCCCTTCACCTCCAGGTTGCATTATAGACGACTCTCCAGGCCCCAGAAGTGAGCAGATCCGCAAGGCTTCATACTGCTCTTGTCTCAGGCAATGGGGGTCCCAAGGCCTCCTATCTCCTAGTTGACAAAGTAGGGTTTTTTGTTTTTGTTTTTGTTTTTTTCCAGTTCTTACATTCTAAAACCAGGAGGAGCTTTTAGTATAGGGCTCACAAATAACTGTGGGGGCCAGGGAGCACAAACAAGTCAGTAGAATCATTACAAATTGATAGAGGAATAATTTAGTTGCATGTTAAATAGGTTGGAATAGTTTCCACTTCACGAATAATTGTTTTCTAGAAACATGTATCTCTTTCATTTTTAAATTTTTAAATTTTCAATTTTTTTTTAGTATCTATCTCCTCTATTCCCTCTTTCATCTTCATGCCTCCCCCCACACCACACTCACCACACTGTTGTCCATATTCATGAGTTTTCCTTTTCTCCCCCATCATTCTTTTTGTTTTGTTTCCTTATGTTTGATAGAGACCTATTTGGAGGCATTTTCTATCTCTTTAGGGTCACGACCCACAGGTTGAGAACCGCTAGCAGGGTCGCCTAAGACCATCGGAAAACACAGATATTTACATTACGACTCATAACAGTAGCAAATTACAGTTATGAAGTGGCAACAAAAATTATTTTACGGTTGGGGGTTACCACAACATGAGGAACTGTATTAAAGGGCTGTGGCATTAGAAAGGTTGAGAACCACTACTTTAGACAAATCCAGAGCCCGCCACATGATACTCCAGAGCAACTTGCGCTCGGCCTCGATGCCTGGAGCAGCCAGCAGGCCTGGGCTGCCTGGGAGTCCCTGTCCCTGATAAAGCAGTTCCACTCTCAGCCCGCTCTCCCAGTTCATGTGGACCTCCCCGCTTTGAAATTGGTGACTCATTCCTATTTCTGCAAACACCTGACAAAGCGTGTCCACAGGCTCAAACCAGCTTCCCCCCAATTTTCCCAGGTTCTGAGGACCAGAGAGAGAAAGGGACTCTTTTGAGGTCTTTACTGAATAGTACTGAGAAAATTTCACAGCTTCATCGTTATTTTGTATTTAGCTTAAAGCCACTTAAGTAACTATTTAGGCCCTAGCTAATGTGGCTCTGTTGTTTGAGTGTTATCCCATGCACCCAGAGGTCACAGGTTCAATTCCCGATAAGGGCATGTGCCCAGTGTTAGAAATAGGTGAGCCCCCCAAGTCAGGGGTCCTGGTTGAACACAAAACATACTTGGGAGCCAGGCAGCAAGGCAAACAGTTTACTTCTACAAAGAAGGGCGTGCACACTGAGCAGGTGGTCTGCTCAGGGATTTATATTTTCTGGTGCACATGACCTGTCCCTTGCTCTTGATTGGAACTAAGACGTACAGTCTTTCATGATTGGCTAATTCAAAGTCCTTTGCTGTTTCAAGATGGCGACCTCCAGGAGAGCTGCAAGTCATGTGGCCAACATGGCGACTGCCAAGTCACACCGTTCAAAACTGTTCTTTGATAGAAAAGATGACTTGTTTATTCTTTCACTCAGGTAGTGGGTTCAATTCCTAGTTGGGGCGTGCAGGAGGCAGCTGATTAATGTTTCTCTCTCATTGATATTTCTTCTCTCTCTTTCTCTCTCTAAAATCAATAAAAAACATTTTTTTTTAAAGGAAACGATTTAATCTTACTCATTTGTTTTACAGGGAGTGAGGAGTAACTTGTGAAAAGCTCTCAAGAAATGTCCGAGATATGCCATTATGTGTGTATGGATTGAGCTTCTTGTTCTGTCCCACCAGCACTGGCCCGTGTTTGTGGAGGTTAAAGACTTGTTGACATTGGTGCCACCCTTGGTGGGCCTGAAGGGGAACCTGGAGATGACCCTGGCATCACGACTCTCTACAGCTGTAAGTGGACATCAGGGTCACCTACCCCTCGGGGAGGGACGTTCTGCACCACCAGATCTCCCCAACGTAGCTTGTAGGTGGGTGGGTTGGACTCTCCAAAATGAAGTGTTGTGTTGAGGTTTGTTCTGTCACGATGCGCTAGTTGGTCACTCTTCCCAGCCCATCATCCTGTTTAGCCAAGCTGGACTGCTGTATGCCCAGGCCCAGCCCCTGTGTGCCCTTAGTTTCTTCTTGAACCCAATGTCAGGCAGGGCTCTGTGTCTTTGTGCCCAAGTCTTTGGGCTGCCTCTGCTTGGCCACCTGGACCCTGAGCCCAGCTCCATGCTTTCGTACTGAAACCATGATGAGCACCACAGGGAGGAAGTCTTGGAGGAGACAGGGTATTCCGTGCTGGTAATGATCTCCAGGAGGCGTTTTGTTCTGCAGAAGGATCTTTGACTGCCCCGCAACCAGAGTTGTTTCCTGTGGGCTCTAACAAGGCCCCTAGCTGTGCCCCACTTCTCACCTCTCCCAACTCTCCTGGGAATGGAAATTCTTTTCCTCTCTCTGATGCCCATTGGACAGCCAATCCAGTATGTGAAAAAGGCCCGTGGCAAGAGGAAGTGCCCTGTGTTCAAGAAAATGAGAGAAGAGCGATGGCTTTAGGTGGAATGCAAAGGGAAGGGGGGCGGCTGCCTGGAGCGGGACTTGGGAAAGACAGGGGAAGGGTGTGGGCTGAACCACAGCCCTCAAAGATGTAGGGACAGGGTTTTTGCAGTTGTGATTACAGTAAGGGCCTTGGATGGGAGAGCATCCTGGATTAGCCCAGTGTCATCAGTTATGTAGGGGAGGCAGAGGGAAGTTTTAGAAAGAAGAGAATGCCTCTGAGAGAAGCAGAGTCCAAGGAAAAGATAGTCTGCTACTTTGAAAATGGAGGAAGAGCTATGAGCCAAAATACATTGCTCTACCTTTTGGAAAAAAGCAAAGGAACAGACTCCCCTAGAGCAAGGCTCTCCTGACACCGTGATTTTAACCCCTCACTCATTGCAGACCCCTGGCCACCTGACCCGTAAGAGAATACATTCTGGGTCTTAAGCCCATGGCAGGTTCCCTGTTAGAGCTATACCAAACTCTTACCAATTTAGTGGCTTAAAACAACAGAAGTTGACGCTCTTACAATTGTATTTTAGATCTCCTTTTTACTCTGTGTTTTCAAGAATGCTGCCTTCTTTAGAGCAGGCTACCTCTGGTGATTGGGGGGAGAGTCAGAATCTGTTGCCTGAAGGTATATACCAGTGACTGGCCTTATGGATCTGGGAGCTGTGTGTCCCTCTAATGGTCACTCTAGGTACTGCTCTGCCTTTTCTTATCCCAAAACGCAGTCTTACTCCGTCAGTTGAGGTATCCCACTGTTGGCACAAGTCAGCCAGGCAAGGGAAGGTCCTGCAGCTGTTCTGCTCCACCTTACTCCCTTGCTTCTACAAGCATCCCTGAGGTAGGTGTCTGTCAGTCCATGGAAGAGTTGACTGAGGCCCCGGGACAGTTCTGTAATATGTCCCCAAGGTGGTCATGCTAATGACAAAAAAAAAACTCTCCTTGTTTGTACAAAGAAAAGTGATTATATTTTGCCCCTGGGAGTTCAGGAACTTAATGAACTCAATACAAAGGAGCTGAGAAAAACATTTCCTTTGAAATCTTTTCTTATCTACGTATTGAATTTTGCTGGCAATTGCTATGATATTTGGACCTTACTACCATCTTTGATAGAGAAAGTCATCTTTCTGAGCCTGTTTTTTAATACTAAGAGAGGAGGGACTTGCATGGGTTTCTGAAATGGGATGATTTGCAGAGATGAGGTTGGGAGGTTGGTGGTTTTCTGAGACGTTCTTTGAAGAAGGGAATTTTAGGAGAAAGAGGCCAGAGAACTGGCAGAGGGCCTGGGCCAGGGTCACAGAGCCCTCCTCCCCTGTGGTGTGTGGAGGAACTTGGGAGTCAAGTAGCCCTGAAATTGCGGGTGACACGTATGCCTGTGTGTGCTTATGTGCATGTATACATGTGTGTGCATTTCCTTACTTGGGTATGGGAGAGATGGTTCATGATACCATCTGATTCTCAAAGGTACCTGTGTCTTTACCTCTCCACTCCCCAGTCACTCTTTTGAAAGCTGGTTAATAATTTGTTCTGATGTCAATGAAGTGGTATTTGCTGATTTCTCCCCTGAGAGACTGCCTTTTTTTCCAGGAAGGATTGACCCTGGCTTTGGGCCTAAGCGGACTTACCCCTTGCCCTTTTCTCCCCATTTAGGCCAACACTGGACAGATTGATGACCCCCGGGAGCAGCACCGAGTCATCAACAGTAACCTCGCCCTCATTCAGGTGACTCTCCCCTTACCTGATGGGTGACCCTCCCCTCTTTGGAATCTGCAGCCAGGCTGGGAAGAGGAGTGAAGGCTCAGTGAGCCTTGTCCCTGCGCTCTGGATGGAGCTTTAGGGATGGGAGCTACATCCATTCACCCCATGTCCACCAGACCACATTCTTGGAGTAGTAGGAGGCTACTTGAAAGATTTGCCTGTACTTGTTCATTTCTTCTTCTCGTAGCCTGGGCTGAAAATTGCCCCCAAAGTATCCCTGAAACAGCATAGCTAGATCTAGCCTCATCACCTTCCCTTCTCACACTCACCTGTTCTGAAGTCCCCAACTCTGTCTGGTTTGATGGTTGAAAACTCACTCTGGGAGTCAACCAGCTGGGGACCCTCAGGCAAGTCACTTCACCTCACCTGCAAGGTGGGCTGCTGTGAGCTGTGGGTCATAGGAGAGGCATGGTGTCTAGATTGCACGCGATAATCAATCATGCTAGCTATGCCTAGTGCATAGTCTCACCATTTAATGAAGCTGGAAACTGCATCACTTCAGCTTCTCTGCCCCTTGTCCTTACATCCAGGTACTGAGCATCCTACCTCTGAGCTATGCAGGAATCCAGCCTTGCCCCTTCTTTCCTCGGCCTCTTGGTCCCCTTGCTGACTGCAAACGTCTTCACTGTTTTAACTGCTTCAGGCTTCTTGACCTTCCACTCGCCTCTGCATGGTTACCTAAGTGACCTTTTCAAAAGCCTAAAGCTGATCAGACCCCTTCTCCTTTCAGGCCTTCTGTGGGTTTCCCTTGTCCAAGGGTGGGCCTGGTCCAAAAGCATTCAGCCTGGTCCCACCTTCCCCCCCAGCAGCATGTCTTGCATATGTGGTTATTTCTTCTTGGGATGTCCTTTCTCCTTTTGTTCCCTTGGCAATGAAGCCCTTTAAAGACTCTAGTTAGGTCTCAGTTCTAGCCTGACACCAGGTACAGCTCTTTGGTGCCCTGCATGTGCTGCTGGGGCTACCATTGTTGCAATTCTGTGTTTGGATGTTTGCTTTCTTCACTTGAGATAACTTTCATGGGCCAGGACCACCCGTGATATACTACTAAGGCAAGCACGTCAAACTCAAAGGCTAACACAGGCCACGTGTTTGACATGCTTGCTGTAAGGTATATGGATAATGTACAGCCAGATTCGGCGGGTATCATGAGATACTCATGATATCACTAACAGTGGATCTGACAAGGGGTAAGTGATAAATACGTCAGCTACAAGTCACTGGTCTTATTTTTCTGTTTTACACTAAATCCTTGTTCATATGTATGTATATTTTCACATGATTGGACTTAACATATTAAGTCCCGTTCTGGGCCAGGCAGTGGCTTGGCACATGGTCCGAATGATAGTGAGGGTAAAATTTTGTCTCCTCTATTTTTAAAACACTAAACATCAAACATAAGTGGTGCAACAAGTTTCACAATAAAACTTTTTAATGTCAGCATATTCCATCATCTATCCTACATAATAAAGAGCTAATATACAAATGGTCATCACATCCTCACGCCATCACACAGTAATGGCTCAGACACTCAACACTGGGGAGAGAGGAATGGGGCCCAGCCAGGCACAAATGAGCTCGTGAGAAAGGAATGGGGGCCAGCCAGGATGTGGTCTGGGAGAGGGACAAGCTGCACACCCCATAGTTCCAGGCGCCAGCGACTGAGCCTGTGCCTGCAGCCCAGGAGAGGGACAGGCCACATGCCCCATGTTGCTGGGCACCAGCAGCTGCGCCTGTGCCTGCATCCGAGAGAGGGACAAGCTGCCTGCCCCATGGTCCTTGACACCTGCGGCTGCAGTCCAGGCGAAGCTGCCCACCCACGTTCCCCTGCGGCTGTAGTCAGCCTGGGTAAAGCTGGCCCGGGTCCTGGGTACCTGTGGCTGGCCAGAGGGAGGGAAGTCTGGGTCTCAGGTCCTGCGTGCCTGCAACTGGCTGGAGGAGTGTATCCTGGGTCCCAGGTGCAAGGTGAGGCAGAGGTGGTTAGGGACGATCAGGCCAGCAGGGAAGCAGTTAGGAGTGATCAGCAGACAGGCAGGCAGGAGAGCAGTTAGGAGCCAGTGGTCTTGGATTGTGAGAAGCAGTTGGACATCCCCTGAGGGGTTCTGGATTGGGAGGGTGTAGGCCAGGATGAGAGACCCCCCCCCCCCCATGCATGAATTTCGTGCACCAGGCCTCTAATCTATATTATAAAAGGCCTATGGCCCTAATGCCGTAACAACCAAAGACCAGCATGGGTGGGTGGAGTGCGCATGGGTGGGGGGGGGGGCTACATGATTTCGTGTGCTGGGCTTCTAGTCTACACTAATAAAAGAGTAACATGCTAATTGACTATACCTTCACAACATCCACCAACCAATCAGGAGTGAGTGTGCAAATTAACCCACACGACCCCAGCTGCTCTGGACCTCTGGCCAGCGTGGGAAGGCGGAAAGGCGGCTCCAACCAGAGTGAAGGCAGTGCCAGCAGCCAGGGGAAGGAAGGCCCATTCTTGCACGAATCTTCGTGTATCGGGCCTCTAGTGTGTGTGTGTGTGTGTGTGTGTATGGCTAATATGCAAAGTGTCCCCTTGGAAGTTCGACCGGGAGACTGGGAATTTTATCACTCACTATGACATTCACTGACCACCAGGGGGCAGCACAGAATGAAGGAAGGCCCCAGCCGGCAGCTGGAAGGCCCCGATTGGCCCTGATTGCTGGCCAGGCCTAGGGACCCCTCCTGTGCATGAATATCGTGCACCATACCTCTAGTGTAAATATAACCAAGAGTGATATTTAAAATTTTTAATAATTAGTAGCTCCTGGAAATACCCCAGTAAGACTGAAGGACAGCCATCAAGAGCTGGCCCAGCAGGACCAGTGTAAACCTGCCTGGCCTCGGCCTGGACCCACTTCACTGTACCGGTGCCCTGTGGGTGCACCTGCAGCTGTGTGGAAGCTTCTGCGTGAAAAATTATCCTGCAGTGAAAATGCTCTCTTTAGCACGAATTCCTTGAGAGAACTTCCCACAAGTTCACAAGGTATGAACAGTTCAAACCTCCACATTCCCCCAAAAGATTACAGCATATTTGCTTTCTTAGTATTAAACTATAGCACAAGTATTAATATCTGAAATACTGGTTTCTTCATAACCTCACCAGCATTGGTAATTGTATAGCCTCACCAGTATTCTTCTAAACTACTTTTTTTATTTACCATATACATCGAGTGGCCAGATTATTATGATCTCTGAATGCATAATAATCTGGCCACTCAGTGTATATCCTATGTAATAAAAGACTAATATGCAAATTGTCCCCTTGACCAGGAATTCGACTTGTAGGTATATCCCCTCCCCCTAGCCGGGTTGGCTGGACCCCATCTCTGCACCAATTCATGCACTGGGCCTCTAATATATACATATTTATACACCCTGGCCAAATTATTATATGTTTAGAAATCATAATAATCTGGCCACTCAGTGTATATATGCCATAGATAATGTATGATAACAATTTTTATTTTTAAGTTTAAAACATTATACTGTAGCCCTGGCTGATGTGACTCAGTGGTTAGAGCATTGGTCCATGCACCAGAGACTCGAGGGTTCCATTCTCTGGTCAAGGGCACGTACCTGCTTTGCAGGTTTGATCCCAGGCTCTGGTTGGTGTGTGTGCAGGAGACAACCATTTGATGTGTCTGTCTCTCCTTCCCTCCCTTCTATCTCTCACTATCAATGGGAAAAATATCCTCAGGTAAGGATTAACAACACAAAAAATATTACACTGTACATGTAATTCTGTAATTTGTACTTTTCTCTTAACGACTTAATGAATGAAAATCTCTTACAGTAGCTAATAGTAAGCACTCAGTAAATAGCAGCTCCAAATATCATTATCATTACATGGTTCTTTGTCCATAGGTACAATTGTTTCCCTGAAAAAGGCTTGATCGTAAGGTATATGGATAATGTACATCTAAGGTTTCCTCCAAAATTCCTGTACCAGTTTTACCCCCATCAATGTATGAGACCATTTCCCTCCAAATGTATTTTATATTATCACTCTTTCAAATTTTAATTTTACCCAATCCGATGGGTAAAAAGAGTGTATCGCATCCATTCATAGATTCATGCATTCATTTATTTGGTGAGCACAGACGAGGGCTGAGATTCAGCCTCTCTTCTCAGAGCTGAGGATCCCAGCAGAAAATAAGACCGTGCTTATCTTTTAATAGAGGAGGACCAATAGCGGTTACAGATGAATAAGATGTCTCCTTCAAGTTACGATTTCATTTAAGATTTTCCTGACAACTAGGGAGGTTGATCAGGGAAAATTCAGAGAATGAGAGAAGCAAGAGATCAGAGGTCACTTCCTCACGTTTCTGATTCCTGCCCGACAGGTTCAGGCCACTGTTGTGGGGCTCCTGGCTGCCGTGGTTGCCCTGCTGCTGGGGGCTGCGTCTCGGGGGGAGCTGGACTTCGCGAAGGTGGAGCTGCTGTGTGCCAGCAGCGTCATCACTGCCTTCCTCGCGGCCCTGGCTCTGGGTGAGCTGTGCCCCAACCCCAGCACCTTTCTCCTCCCGGCTGGCCCCATACTCTACTCTCAGCACTTTGTTGCTTTCAGTTCCAAAAAAACGGGAGCACTACTGGTGGGTCCTTGGGCATCCTGCCAGGTCATGACCCACCTTGTGGGCAGGGGAAGAGGGCAGTGAGCCCTGTCCTGGGTAAGGTGTGTGTGTTGGGGGAGCTGCTAACTCCGTTTCTTCCCTCTGCTTGTTTAAAGAACTGGCCTGTGGCTCTGTAGACATTCATTCATTCAGTCAGTCAGTCATTCCTTAACCATTTCTCAGGCATGGCTTGTGTGTGAGCTTGTGTTGCTCTGCTGTCTGCAGTCATGTGAGGAGCAAGGCTCAGTTTTTGGCTTAAATTTTATCTCTTCATTTTTTATTATTTTTTAAAATATATTTTATTGATTTTTTACAGAGAGGAAGGGAGAGAGAGATAGAGAGCTAGAAACGTCGATGAGAGAGAAACATCAACCAGCTGCCTCTTGCACACCCCCTTCCGGGGATGTGCCCGCAACCAATGTACATGCCCTTGCCCGGAATCGAACCTTGGGACCTTTCAGTCCAGACGTTCTATCACTGAGCCAAACCGGCTTCGGCAAATTTTATCTCTTTAGAGAGGTGTTTCCTGATGACCCCTCCCATATACCATCTTCCTTTCTCTCCCCTCTCCATTGCCACCATGCACTACTGTCCCATGCCGTTTCCCTTTGGAACACTTGGGAAAATCTGAGACGATCTGGTTTTTCTGTTCATTTCCGTCTCACCTTCTTGCTACAATGTCACCTCCTCAGAGCGGGAGGCCTCCCTCCCCTATTTTGCCATCTGCTGCTCCTATCACACTGGCTGCCACAAGATGCTCCCTACGTGTCTACGGAAGGTGGAAAGCCGGAGGCACTGGCAGACGTAACCCCGACCGTGAGTCCACGCATGTCAGTGGAGAACCAGTTGGCTGTACAATTACCAAAGAATGTCACCCACCCCTCATTACTCAGTGTTTACTGAGTGTCTGCCGCTGGCCATGCACTGTTACGGCGCTGAGCAAAATTCCCAGGGATCCTGTTTTGTGATGTGTATATTCTAGTTCAGAGTGAGACATCCATATGGGAGCAGAGGACGGGGCTCACTGCCTCTTCCCTTCTGAGGCCTTCTCTGATCAGCTCTCTATAGAGTAGCCCTGTCCACAGTCACTCTTTGTGTTTAGTATCCTATTTATTTACTTCAAATCCTTGTTCACTTCCTTGCACATGGTCTGTTCCTCAATCCGACAGGCATTTAAGTGTGAGTACAGAGCCCAGTGGTTACTTAAAACAGTCCCAGGCAAATAACCAGCTCCCCAATGTTTGCTGAATGGATGGACTTTGTTCTGATTCTCTTGTGGATTGTATGTCTGTGGTATGTCGCAATGTGTGCAAATGCAGGAAGGAACGAGTGATAACTTTATACATTGGATTTTTATTTACACTTCTGTCCAGCCATCTGGCTGCCCACAAAACACCGTTGAGCTCAGCTCTCTGTAAGGTAATGCAGCGGGTTATTTGGTGATTTTGGTTCCTACCAGGCAGCTGATCGATGGAGCTGCTGCATTCCTGCACTAGGGCCCATGACTGGGAGGGAAGAAGCTTAGGAGCAAATTCACAAGTTGTGCTTCCCAGGTGGGATGTCTGCCCCGGGTCTCATGCCTGTGCACATGCATGGGGTGGGACACAGTTACTCAGTCTGGTCAAAGGAAAGGCAGGATGGGTATGCCAAACCTGGAGAAATAGAGAGCCCAGGAGATAAGTTGGCGTGAAGTTTCCCCTGAAAACAATACAGTCAGATGATTCAGAAGGCCTGTTCCTGTAGGGCCTTGTACAGAACGTCATAGCTCCCTATTTTACAGATGAGAAAACAGAGGCCCAGGGATGGGGTGAGGTGCAGCTGCTTGGACATAATCAGGATCACCCAAAGATGTGTGGAAGGTCAGAAAGGTTGCCAGTGTCTCACAGTGTGACCACGATATAACTGTGCCATAAAGCCAAGAGGTGGTGGTGGCTCTTACTCAGTGCTCTCAAACTGGCAGTGTCCCCGTGTATGGTCCCGGTGGGATTGGCACCGGACCACCAGTTTAACCATGCAAATTCGGATTCACTTAGAATTGCTATTTCAAAAGAGATAAAGTAGCTAAGACCTGGTCACAAAATAGGGCACAGACTGTGGCTTGAAAGAATGGGTCAACCCAGTGTTAAGACGACATTCAGGTGGTGATGCTAAGTATTTTTAGAATTACAGGATACTGGATAACATGTGAAACAGCATCAGCCACGATACAGAGTGTCATTATAAAGACCCACATGCAATGTGATTGGATTAGGGCAGTGGTCAGCTCTTTGGCCCCTTGAGTTTTTAGCAAAGGCCAGATTAGGAGTTCCCTAATTAAGTTAATAACAATATACCTACCTATATATTTAAGTTTAAAAATTTGGCTCTCAAAGGAAATTTCAGTCGTTGTACTGTTGATATTTGGCTCTGTTGACTAATGAGTTTGCTGACCACTCATTGTTTGGGAAGGTTGGGGAGGTTGGTAGGACAGTCTCCACCACAGGGCCTAAGGAGTAGATGGGGCTCGAGGTCCACATGGGACATTCACCTCAGAAGAGAAAGTAGAGCCGAAACCGGTTTGGCTCAGTGGACAGAGCGTCGAGCTGTGGACTGAAAGGTCCCAGGTTCTATTCCGGTCAAGGGCATGTACCTTGGTTGCGGGCACATTCCCAGCAGGGGGTGTGCAAGAGGCAGCTGATCCATGAATCTCTCTCATCGATGTTTTTAACTCTCTATCCCTCTCTCTTCCTCTCTGTAAAAATCAATAAAATATATATTAAAAAAAAAAAAAAGAGAGAGAGAGAAAGTAGAACCTGAAGAGGTGATGTGTCCTTTAGGTCTCCAGCTATGGGGAAGGTCCTCAGTGCTGCACCCTAAAAGCCATCAGCCCCACACAGGCCACCTGTTGTCTCCACCCAGTGGTGGCTCTTCAGGGCCCCTGAGATGGGCCTGTTTCCCAGACATGGACCCGCCTAGGTGCCTTGGGCTTGAGGACCCCTGCCAGTGCTGCCCGCTCCCAGCACTGCACTGAAGTCTGTGTGTGCCCCTCCTCTAACTCTGTCCTGCTGCAGGAGCCCCCCTAGTCTACCACCACCCTCCCCCATTTCCCTCGTGAGCTGCTCACTTGACTGATTCCATCTGGGCATCTACTTCTCCAGGGACCGCAGAAGGCGATGCTCGGTCCCTGGGGCTCCATTGCTCAGAGCAGCTAGGAGCACCTTCCCGACAGTGAGAGCCTGTGAGCTTCATGTCTCTAGTCCAAGTGGTTTGGAAGCCCAGGAAGTCCCTGCTGTTGTCTCCCCAACGGGTCTGAGTGTGTCATCAAAGCTTCTGGGCTGCTCCTTAGCATCATGCCAGAGAGCCACAAAGCAGAGTCTGACACTCCCAGCCAGGTGGCCTGGCTTATCCTGGCAGAGGGAAGGACGCTCCTGACCCCCTCCTCATCCTGTGCTGCTGAGCCTCCTTGGGGTCAGTCCATTCCCCCAGCCTGAGTCTCCTCTCTCTCCTCCCTGCAGGGCTGCTGATGGTCTGTATAGTGATTGGCGCTCGGAAGCTTGGGGTCAACCCAGACAACATCGCCACGCCCATTGCAGCCAGCCTGGGAGACCTTATCACACTGTCCATCCTGGCTTTCATCAGCAGCTTCTTCTATAAATACAAAGGTAGGTGGGTCCAGAGGAGGAGGGGCCCGCCAGCCGGGCTGAGCGGGAAGGTTTGCATTGAGCTGCAACATTCAAATCGGGCACCACAGGAAGGAATCTCAGGCTCGGTGGTGGAGTCAGGGATCCTCCTTTTGTAGAAACAAAGCCTCAAGTCCCTGAACAAATCAAGGTGTTCTCGGCTCTCCCAACCGTGTTAGCTGACACACAGATTGTCAGTTATCACCTTAGACCAGGGTATGCCAGGAGGCCGGGGAGGTTCTAGGCTGGCCTGGCCACTTCAGCACACTGGCAGTGCCTCCCTGGGGAAGGCAGTTCACACTGGGCACATGTCACCTGCCCCGGAAGTCTCCTAGGGAGGAAGGTCTGTCCTTGGCAGCAGCAGCTTATGCTCTCCCTGCAGGTGCCAGCCAGGGGAAGCCAGGCCTCTCAGAAGGCGGGCTGGCAGCCTGCTCAGCAGCTGAGCGGGGAGTCACACATCTGTGGCAGCAGCCCCTCCCTCCACCAGAGGTCTCCCAGGGCTGCCATGAACACAGTCTGCTCATGCCGTGGGCAGTGTAGCCAGGCAGCATCACCCAGGCCCAGGGATTTCCCCCCCAGGTTTCCACAGCTGACCATTCCCTTCTGAGCATCACACTTTGTACTTCCCACCTGGCACAGTCCTGCTAAGAGGGCTGCACACAACTGTTGGCATCTGGCGAGAGTTGGTTCCGGGCACCGTCAGGACCCTGGTGCTTGGGGCAGGCAGCATAAGAAATGGAGTGGGTGGCGATGTGACTGTGGGGAGGCTGGGCCTGCGGGACGGTTGGTGGGAGGAGAGAACCAGACAAAGGAGCGGCACAGCAAGCTCCCGTTTATCATCGCCTCGTGAGGACATGCACCCAAGCGTTTGAGACATCACCCGTGTTCACATGTTGGCAACTGAAGCAGAGCAACAAAACCCTTCCGCTGTCATGTGTTCAGGCACGTGGAGCCTTTCCCAGCTCTGGGCTGGCTCCTGGCTACCCTGGGAACTGCCTACCACCAACACCATTGAATGATTTGGGAGCTGCTCAATGTTCATGTACATGATAATGAAGTTCATAATAAGATGACCTCAATTAATTGTAAGCCAAACTGAATTTAGAATAAGAAGGTTTGTGTATGGGTTCATCCTGTTTGATTTGCAAAATTAATACGGGTCACAGGTGTCCCTAGACCCTTCCCCTTCGCCCCTGCTGTGCCCCTCCTGAAATAGTGGGTTTCAACACAGGACTTATTAGATGTTGAATCATTGTTGGGTTGTCCCTCTCTCCACCTGGGCTGTGATTTATCTTGGTCACTGGGCCTGGCACATATCAGACATCTTCACCGACAAGGCGTGAGCCATTGACTCTCTCACCTGCCGGTGTAGTCGGGAAGACGAGCCACTTGCAGGGGAATGACGTGTCCACCACGTGGCAGTGGGAAGAGGAGGTGGGACCTCTGCCAAGCCTTCTGAGGAGTTCCAGAAACCAGACTCAAAGGTGTCCTGCTAGTAGGCACCCCTGTAGGCTGCTGTCCGCTGGGTGGGAGGAGGCAGAGGAGAGTATTTAGGTCAGGAAAATAGCAAAACCCGAGAAGTGAAAGTGAAGGGGGCAGGACCTGAGGACAGAGAAGAGCTTTTCCAGTTGCTTAACAGGATGAGGAAATGTTGGGGAGGTTGGTAGGACAGTCACCTGAAGCTGATGAGGACGGAAGTGTCTCCTCACACCTGTAGAGCCTTTAGTTCCCAGCCCACCTCTCATCTCTGCAACCCTGGCCGCTGCCCACCATGCCATGCTGTGCACTGGCTCCGGCCACATGGCTGCGTGCATCCCCTTTTTTCTTCTTTCTCTTCCCAGACAGCCGGTTTCTGACTCCCGTGGTCTGCATCGGCTTCATGGCCCTGACCCCGGTGTGGGTCCTCATTGCAAAGCAGAACCCACCCATCATGAAGATCCTAAAGTTCGGGTGGTTCCCAATCATCCTAGCAATGGTGATTAGCAGGTGAGCATGAGTGAGGGCCTCTTCCCCTCCCCGTGCCATCCCCCGTCTTTGTGTTGAAGAGAGTGGCCTGAGAGCCAAGGACCCCCAAGGAGGGGGCGGCTCACTGCCCTGTGGCCATGGTGAGCGTGGACTGCAGCGAAGGCTCCTTCACTGATTTCCACGGCTGGTTGAGTCAGACCTCTTTACTCTTTGCCTCTGTTTTCCTAACCAAGAACCCTAGACTTGTTTGTTCTGAGAGGCAGCACTGTTTACATTTGCCAGAGCACCAGAGAGCCAGGAAGAGCCAGACATAGAAACATCAGCTGAGTGCATAGTGCCGTGGCTCCCTGCCCTGTCCAGGCCTGTGGGACTCCGCCTCCCGTGCCCCTGCTGCCACAGCTCTCCCTGGCTGGCCCCTGCTTAAGCTGCAGGGATTCTCTCATCTGGCCTCAAGGCAATGGCTCTGCAAACACCATTTCCACAGCATGGCTGCCTGCGGGACCTAGAGGGGCTGAGGGGTTAGTGCCTCCAGAGCCCTGGCCTTTAGCTGAGCCCAGGTCTTCTGCCGTCTAGCTCCATTCTCAAGGGCCTTTCTGCTAGCAGACCCTGAGGGGCCACCCCAGTTCTTTCTGATATGCTCTCCTAACTTTCTGATGTGCTATCCTAACTTTGATTCTCAGAGAGGAGAGGCTATGGTGTAGGTGCCTTTGTACCTGGGTTCCTTACACAAAATGATCGCACTTCTTCAGGGACGGTTTATTGTCCCATCCTCGGGGTGGGATTGGCTTAGATAACCTACAGGGGCTGGTGGGAGCGAGGTCTTGCTGCAGCACCTTCCAACAACAAGGGGCTTGAGAGGACACTCGTGCAGGTTCGTGTTCTGCTAAGGAACAGCTCAGTTGCAGCTCAGGGGCTGTCATAGACAGAGCCCAGTGAGCCGAGAGGCCTCAGAAAGGAGTTTGTTGTTTGTGTTCAGTGGGCAGACACTTCGAGAACAGCAAAGCCTAGACTAAACATGAAAAGGCACATGGGAGGCGCAGGGCACACTGTGGAGACAGCCTGACAGATATCTTGGAGCAGCTAAGGAAAGTGCTAAGCTGAAAGGACAGCCTGATAAGGTGGTTTGCAAGGCCACTTACAAGCAGAAACTCTAGTCATTTAACTGCTGTCTGCTCTCTCCCCAGTTTCGGAGGGCTCATCTTGAACAAAACCATTTCTAAGGAGCAATACAAAGGCATGGCCATATTCACGCCCATCATCTGTGGTAGGTATTGGCAATCCCTGCCACCCAGGCACCCTGGGCTGGGTTGGCCCCCCGCAGCCCCAAGTGGTGGGGGCTGGCAGCTGTGATGTCAGAGGTCCAGCCCCTGGCCCTCCGAGGCAGAGGCAAAGGCAGGAAGCTGACAGGCAGAGGCTACCAAGGCTGGTTTTCCTAACTGAAGGAGACCTCAGGGGAGAAGCCATGCTCATTGCTCCACAAGATTACACCTTGCTCCTCACAGGCCACTGAGACCTAAGCTTTCCCACGGGCTGAATTCCATGCCTTGAAGGCACCGTGGATCTAACCCAGGTTCTCAAACCTGCAGAATGAATGTGGCATTCGGAACTGGAGTGTTGGCCTCTCATGGTTTTTCTTTTATTTTAGCTTAGATTCACTGGAGACATTACACATAAAAATCTGGATTTCTGTTTTCTTGAAAAGCGAGGCTGTAACAATACTGGGTTTACACACTGGGGTTAGGGCCATAATCAGCTGCCACTGAGACAGGACCTGTGTTGTCCAGTTTGCCTCGATCCGCTCCATTCCCTGTTGTCTTTCACCCAGCCCTTCACTGATTCACCTCTGGGCTTGTGGGTATTTGTGTGAGGAACCCTCTTTTAACCAAAGCTAGGTATGTGTCTAGTTTCTTATAAAGCTCTGTAATGGGACCAATGGTCAGGGGAGCAACCAGCCATGATGACTTATTGCACAATTTGCTTGATGCCAGGCTGTGGCTTTCTGGGACTTCAGAAACAGGAACGGGTCAGTTGCAGGTCAGGGTATTATAAGTGAGGCCATTATAAGTGAGGGCAACAGCTAAGTCAGGCCCAGAAAGCCATAAGCCTGGGAAGATATCCATGGAATGGCACCAACTTGGATACCTATAGAGGCCAAGCAGTTTGACTGAGTTAAGCAGATAAGACAACAGCTAGGCAGTGAGGAGTGATGGGAACAGGACCCATGTTCCTGGACTGAAGGGAGTAGGGCCTGCTCAGCTCTGGCCACTTGCTACCTGGTAGAAACTAAGGTCTTAGAGTTGCCTGAACTGACTTGTTTGGAGAAGCTGGGAATCTGGATGGAAGGCCCAATTTGTAAGTGCTGCCAATGAATTTGAGTTATTTTTTTCATCATGTGTGGGCCAGGCAAAACAGATCTGCAGCCATCCTCTGCCCACGGACCCTTTTTGGCATCGTCTGGAAGCCCGGGACAGTTGGTCTTTGCCCCTGGAGATCACTGGGACATGTGAGGTCCAGTAAGAGATTGTTACCTGTGGGACTAAGGACATAGAATGGGGGCCACCCAACTCCACCTCCAAAGCTGACGGTCACCCTCGTGGGCCCTGTTCTCTGCCAGCCCCAAATTCAGCCCCACTGACTCCCCTCCCTCCTTTAGCACGGCCGGTGTCCCTGGGCTGGACACTATCAGCTGCCCCAGCTCTGCCATCATATGGTCACCTCTCCTTCCTTACTGCTCTTACCAATGTTCTCTTTCCTCTCCGTCCTACCCGAGGTGGAAAAGATCCCTTTTGCCTTCTCAGGTATTCCAGTTTGTCCTCTGATTCCTGTCACTTCCTGTGGCTTTGGGTGGCTTATCAAGATACCTCTCATTGACCTCTCTATTGACTCTCTTCCCTCTGTCCCTCCTTCCCTTTCACACTCCCTCTACCCAATAAATATGTATCGGACACCTACTTTGCAACACTTCCTTCACCTTAAGAGCCGTCAAGGTGATACAGGTGCTACCTTGATAACCTCATTCATGAGGTCCAAGCCACCCTCGTTTGGTGTTAAACAACAGCTGAGGTCAGATGGAAAAGAAGGAAAAGAGATCAAGTGTTGAATCGGAAAGACGCCCTGGAGAAAGTGATGTGAGCATAAGGAACAGAACTCAGAGACTGGCACGAAGAAGGGGGAACCAGGCTCTTTTTCTCCTCACAGGTGTTGGTGGCAATCTTGTGGCCATTCAGACCAGCCGGATCTCCACCTACCTGCACATGTGGAGCACCCCTGGGGTCCTGCCCCTCTGGATGAAAAAATTCTGGCCTAACCCATGTTCCACGTTCTGCACTTCAGGTGGGTCTTGGGTTTTTCAGAGGCCATGGGGCCATTGCTTTAAACAAGTAAAAATTGTCATTGGAACCTTGTGTTTGTAGCAATGGTGTCTAAGACCAGTGCTGACCTCAGCACAGATTATCATATGGAAAACCTGCTGCAAACAGCTTGTATGGGGCTGCAAATTGGATGGAGCAGGGTCTCGAGGAATCCCCAGAGTGGAGCAAACAGTGTGCTCCAGGCTGACTGAGACTTGGATATGGCTGCCAGTCAGCCCTGTGATGTGCGAGGTCCCAGCACAGGAACGATGGCTCTTGCAAGCACCCCTGTCTGGGAAAAAGCTGCCCCTGAGTTCCTGCCCCAATGCCAGACGGTCCAGTTCCTCTTTGTATGTGTCTGGGCTGGAACTCGGAGGTACGGCGTCTCCCTTTAAAAGGAACAGCTGGGTCGCCAGCAGCCTCTGTCTCTCTCAGCCACAGTCCCCACTGGTTTTTTTTTTTACAGCCTGAAGTTACGGGACTTCTCTTCCCAGCTCTGGTAGCCTGGGCTGGAGGTTGAGACCCCTTGCACCTGGGGGAAGGAGGGGAGGAATCGGGACTCCCTCCAAATTTAAAAAACAGCACACATGGGCGCCAGTCCAGCGGGTTCTACACCCCACCTCTCCTACCAGTCTTGGTGTACTTTCTTCTCTAGTTGTAGGACATCCATTCAGCCAACTTTCAGGTGGTTCTGAATGACGGCGGTTCTGTATTTTAGTTGTAATTTTGATGTGGTTATGGGAGGCCACAAGTACAAGTATTTACCTACCAGCCATCTTGGTTCTCCTGAATTCTTTATGTAGCTTTTCTATAAATTTTCTTGAGTTTTATGTCACCTTCCAATAATAATTATTTTGCCTTCTCCTTTTTAAGTTGTTTTTTTTTAATCTAACATTATGTGATTTGTCATCATGAATAGATTTTGTTGCTTTTCTATGGTTTCATTCTCTCTCTAACATATTATTTTATGACTTTCCAGTTTCTAAGCTACATATGATTTTCCTTCCTTTTTCTTAAGTTGATAAAATACATTATATCAACTCATAAGCAAATGGAGGCTTACTTTTCATCGCAACCCTTTGTGGTTGAGTTAGTCCATCATATTTACATGTTATAGTTTTAAAGAGATGACAGGGTAAATCACATTTCTTGCTGTTTCAAACTCAGGGAGCACTGGCTCCTGAGAAGAGTGGAAATCACTCAGACCTCCATTGTGCTGAAGGCCCCATGAGGGCACTGCCCTCCCCGATCAGTAAGGATCACTAGTGAGCCTTCATTTTTCTACACTCCTGAGCTTTCCACCTTAAGCCCCTTGCACATTCTCTTTCCTCTAGCCAGAGTCTTCTCCCCCAGATTCAGATCTCAGCCTAAATGTCATCTCCCCGAGAGAGAGCTTCCAATTTCTGTCGCTCATTCCCAGGAATAGACACTCATCCTCTGACTTATTTTCTTCCTACTACTTGTCAGAATTTGAAATGACCTTTTCTATTTGTTTCTGCTACTCGATTCCAACTTTTCTCTCTCCTATAACATGCCAGCTCCATGAGTGAATGGATAGGGCCATATTCCCCAACGGCAGAAATATGCCTGCGACATCATCCACCAGGGCTGTGTGAACTACTCTTTGGCACCTTCAGGGAGTAGCTGCATGAATGTGGATGCCTCACTGAAGACTGTCAAATGTCAGGCAGGTCACACAATCTCGCTGGGTCTGTTTCTTCCAGAAATTAATTCCATGTCAGCCCGAGTTCTGCTCTTTCTGGTGATTCCAGGCCACCTGATTTTCTTCTATGTTATCTACCTGGTGGAAGGCCCTTCGGTCCCAAACAGCAAGATCTTTGTGGCGTTCTATCTGCTAGCAGGCCTCATCCAGGTAAGGACGATTGTAGCAGCAGCAAAGGAGCATTCGGTGGTGGTCCCCTGTCCTGGGCTGAGAAGGTGGAGTTGGGGGTTCTGGACGTGTAGGACACAGTCCCCATCTTCCAGGAGTCAAGTTAACTTATTCAAGCTCAAGGGCATGATCTAGACCCAGGGGCCATCCCTCACTCCTCACTAGACACTCCATGCGGCACCCTCCACATGGCACACTGGATAGGCCACCCTCCACAGAGCACACTCATTACTCCAACCTTCACAAGGCACCGTCCATACTGTATACAACTCACCAGAGGATCAGGGGAGCCATCCTAAAAATGCAGCATGTTGCCCTCAAGGTCTAGCTGATGAGCTGGGCCTTATGCGTCGCTCATTATAGATGGGATGGGCAGGGGCCGGACCCCTGCTGGGGTGTTGCTAAAAGGCATTTGTGGACATTAGTCAGAGCTGGATGATAAGGATATCAAAAACTATAGCTGGCTGATGCCCTGCTGAGCCTGGGGACTCTGCAGGGATTACTGTGGGCATTGGTAGGCAATTTTTAAGGGGCTAGCATTTTCAGATCATCTTGAGTTAGGGCATTTGCAATCTCAGCCTGTCTCTGACCCTGAAGCATGGGCTGGGGCAGTCTGAGAAACTGTCCTGAGCAACAGCAGGAAAGGAGCTGTGGGCAGCCTGCAGCTAGGGACTGAGAGCCCTGACACCTGACCAGTGCTGTGGGGACCCTTGGCACCTCCAGGAAAAGCCAATCATCCAAAGCTGCCTGTGAGTGGGCCTCCAGAAAACCCATATCGGAGTCCCAACAAGATTTGTGTCTAAGGTTCCAAGGATGTTGAGTGGAGCTGGTGCATCTGAGAAAGTCAAGGCTAGTGATCAACAACAGGAGTGGGGTCCAACCACAGGGAGGGAGGCTAGACAAGAGTGGAAGAGGGTGGACTCTTTGGCCCCTGCGCAAGCTCATAGCTGGGCGCCAGACCTCAAGAGAAGCTTGTGGAAGGGGACTACCTGGGGTTGACCTTGGTGTCTGCCCTTGAATCTGCTAGTGTTTCCGACCTGGTCATTGTCTTTTTGTCTGCTTGTCATTGTGACAGGTGACAATCCTGCTGTACCTGGCAGAAGTGATGACTCGGCTGACGTGGCACCAGTCCCTGGATCCTGACAGCCACTGTATCCCCTACCTCACAGGGGTCGGGGACCTCCTAGGGACTGGCCTCCTAGCACTGTGCTTTCTTCTCAGTTGGTTATTGAGGAGCGGAGCAGAGCTGGACGGCATTTCAGAACTCGCGTCTGGGCCTTCCTAATGAGACCAGGCAGCTCCAGTTAGTCAATAGAACGCTCCCTCGCACCGATGGGTTACAGAATGCAGTTCCTCCCTGGCTGGGTCCTTAGGTCTCCCTGCCTCGACAGTGGCCCTTTGTCAATCTGCAAAGGAGACTCACACATCTTGACCCTGGTGTTGGACCCTTAGGCCACGATGGAGCCTAAAATCAGAAGTACTGTCTGTGAGTGTGTGAATGTGTCTACATGTGCCCACATGCTAGATGAGTGCGAATGAGTACACGTATATGTGGAGAGCAGGGTGCACAGGCTTGAAGATTCTGAAGGAAGAGACATGGCAGTGCACTTTGAGGGTGTTTGGCCCTGTTTCAATCCAATGCAGCCCAGATTGGGGAAGAGCAGGAAGAAGATCCCTTGTGTGCCCAAGTCTCAGGACAGCCCGAGTCCTGGCTTACCTGCTGGCTCCAGCTCCACAGGCCACTCTGCTGAGATGCCCTGCACATGTGTGCAGCCCTTCCCAGGACAGGGCCCCTTCCACTCCCAGCATTTACTTTTGCTGCTGCTTTCTTTCCTTTTTTTCTTTTTTTCCTTTTTTTTTTTATATCTCCTTTCTTTCTCTCTCCCTTCATTTCTTCCTTCTTCCTTCCTTCCTTCCTTTTCTTTTTTTTTTTTAACAAACACCTCTGTTTAAAATTTAATAATCAGAAAAATGTAAAATAAAGCATAAAATATATTGCATTTGGCATTTTGTGTTTATAAAGATATTAATGCAACTATGAGTCTTGTGGTCTATAAGTCACGAAAACCTCTGTCATTTCTCTAGTGCAATGTTTGTCATACTGTAGTCTCCAGCTTAGAAGCATCAAACATCACCAGAGAACTTGTTAGAAATGCTAATTATTAATCTTCCCTCCCCCTCAGGCCTGACAAATCAGAATGCCTTGAGGCAGAGCCCAGCAGTGTGGGGGTTAGCCAGTCCTCAGGGGGTTCTGATGTACTCTATGGAGAGCCACTGCTCCAGAATTCCAAGTTACTGCAAGCACTACATAATGCCTCATGTGAAGGCCCACCACAGAACCTGTCTTACTGCACATACAGCAAAAAGTTCTCTTTGTACCATCCTAATGTACAGACTAATTATACACAGAATATAATGTAAAGTCCATAGTTAAGTACTACACTTACTGGAAAAACAGGTGGGAATATATCATTAATTCTGAAGGTGTAGAAAACTTTCATAGAGAAAAATAACATATTAGACAAAAACACAAATTACACGTGTTTTCCATTTCTTCCTTGAATTCCTGTGAACCAATACAACATACGTGGCCAAAGAGTAATGGTATAGGACTCACAAAGTCCTTCCTCAACTTCCTAATGGCATACGTTGTGTGAGTTATCTATAAAGAAGCAAATTATTCAAAAATTTATGAAACCCTTATTATATTCTTCCCATTATTTTACATAAGATATTTTCAGGATAGGAAAAGAAACAAAAAGAAGCCTGTTTCTCAGAAGTGTACATCTACTTGAGCAGATAAGACATTTACAAGACTAAAACATAGAAGATACAAAATGATGAAGGTATAGTGACTTCATTGCAAATTATTTTCATGAAACATCAGCGGTGTCAGATTTATAAATAAGGCTTTTAGAAACGATACACACACACACACACACACACACACACACACACACATATATATATATATATATATATATATATATATACCTTTCTTGATTTTAGAGAGGAAGGGAGAGATAGAAACATCAATAGAGAATCATGCCCCCCACAGGGGACTAAGCCCACAACCCAGGCATATGCCCGTGGCCAGAACTGAATCTGGGACCCTTCAGTCTACAGGTTAACGTCTATCCCATCCACTGAACCAAGCAAGCATCTAAGGCTTAGAAACTAATTCTGACTTTTTATTGTCTGAAAGCAGTGTTTCCTCAATACTTGCCAATATTAATGTGTGTTTAGCTCACTAGATGGCATCTTTTCTCTTTCAGAATCAAATTTGAAAGCCTATTTTTATTTGTTAAATAAAGTTTATCTTTGAAAATAAATGGGAATGAATCAAATTTGTTTTTAGAAAGTTTTTTTTGTTTTAACTAAAACACCAGAACTTGTGCATCCAAATTTATTGTCCTTGTAAGAAATTAGCTTGAAAAAATATACTCTGTATACCTTAGAAGCTGCAATTATTTCAAAGGAGTTTGAAATTTTAAAAATTTTCTTCAGAGGCTGAGAATCATACAAAAATATGTTTTATTCTATACAGGGTGTCTCAAAAACTGTATAAACTATGTCTATAGATTCTATTACATTTGAAAGTGAAATGTATTTTAATAAACAGTACCTTTATAATTATTCAAAATTTGTATACATTTTTGGGGGACACTCTGTATTTATAACATACATTTTTTTGCTATTATCTAAGTTTTACATCAAGTTTTTTAAAGAAATTTTTCAAACTTTAACTAGTATTTTATAGATTTTCAATGTCAGTCACAGATTTTTTCAATGAATCATTTTTACTTACTATAAAGGGAAACAGAAAAGAAAAAAGAATATATCAAATTAGAGGAGGTAGGATGACAACATAAAGTATTGAAAAAAGCATGGAATTTAGAAACAATCTAATTCCAGGACAAATCACAATATGACCTTGGCCAATTTTTTAGCTGGCATGTGCTTCACTTCCCTCATCTATTAAAGAGTGATGCTAATTCTATCAAATAGTTGCGAATTCTCTTATTTTTTAAAATCCTGCCCTACCTGGTTTGGCTCTGTGGATAGAGAATCTGCCTGCGGACTGAAGGGTCCCAGGTTCAATTCCATCAAAGGCACATGCACAGGTTTTGGGCTCCATCCCCAGTTGGGTGCAGGAGGCAGCCTATCACTGATCCTCTCTCATCATTGATGTTTTTATCTCTCCCTCTCCCACTTTGAAATCAAGAAAAATATATACATATATTTTAAAAATCCTCATCTGAGGATGTATTTTTATTGATTTTAGAGAGAGAGAAACATTCATCAGTTGCTTCCCACACGTGCCCCCTACAGGGGATGGAAACATGGAGAAACATGGATTGGTTGCCTCCCATACATACAGAGGTGTCCTGACCCAAAAATTGAGCCTTCCAGCCTTTATTGTGTATGGGTCGATGCTCACTCTAACCCAGCCTCTAGGCCAGGGCAGCTCTGAAATCAAAGTGACTACGGTAGTAGGAGGCCTCCATAGTGAAGGAACTAAGGATTTATAACTATTCAACACAATCAATGTGTTGTTGTTTTTGTTGTTTTTTTAAGATAAAGAACATATATCAGTTTATCTTTTCCTCCAACTACTCCTTTGTTTTCAAGGCCATTGTCACCCTCAACCATAATTCTCTGGACACTGCATTTCTATATCTCATATCCGCTCAGCAAAATTATAAGATTCTTGACTGTAGAATATATTGCTGAATTATTTTTGTTTTGAACTCTGTATAAATATTGCTGCTTTCCATTTCACAATTGGTTTATAAGAATTGGGTGATTAGGTTTTTGCCTTTTTTCTTAGGCATACTCCTTGTCAATTTCTTCAGATATTTATCTATCTACCTATCCATCCATCCATCTATTGAAGTTACATGTCACACTGACTCAGAACAGGTCTGTGGAAGTCTTAGGGTATAAAGTCAGCCGTCTGAATGATTCATCTGGATTCTTTGCCAATTGATTAGACAAAATAGAAGTACCTCAATAGAACTTTCATTCTATTATAATCATCCTTTATTATTGACCCTATATCCTGTTAAATAAAACGAATTTGTGATTAACTATGTTCATATAAAACCCACTGCAGGCCCAACTGGCTTCACTGGGAAACCTATAAAACATTAAAGGAAGAAATAGCACCAATCTGAACAGAAACTTCAATAATATAAAAAGGAAGGAACTCTTCATAATGCCAGCCTGTATCAAATCTGTCAAGAATATTACAAGTAAATAAAATGACACACCAGTATCCCCTCCAACAAAAATTCCAACAAAATTTAGCAAATCATCTATCTACTAGCAGTCTTCACATGTTTTACATAAATTATTTCATTACTATATGCCAGTACTACTGTTAACCTTCATTATGTACATGAGGAAACATCACTAATATATGTTAGAGGTAGGATTTGAATACAGATTCTGGGCTCTGAGGAACTGTCTCCTATTATACTGCCACTTAGTCAGCTAGAAGTAACCTTTCTAAACCACTTGATATAATAATTTTCAGATAATGTTCTGAGGTGAACCAGGGGTGCTGAACACATGACTCAGACTTTGAAAGAAGTAGGTTTGGGTTGGATGGATATGGAGCCCTTCCTTGATTATGAACTCCTCCACCCAACTTCAACTAGAATGCCTCCATTTATATCCATTTTTGTAAACTGTTCTCCATTAAACAGTTTTTAAAAAATCTTCACCCAAGGATATGTTTGTATTGATGAGAGAGAGAGAGAGAGAGAAAGAGAGAGAGAGAGAGAGAGAGAGAGAGAGAGAGAGAGAGAGAGAGAGAGAGAGAGAGAGAGGAGAGAGAGAAATCAGTTGCTTCCCGCACATGCCCCTACAGGGGATCGAACCCACAACCTTTGGGTGCACAGGACAATGCTCCAACCTATTATACTAAGCCATCGTGCCAGGGCTTGAACACTTTGTTTTCAAAGCTTTTTCCTCATTGGAAAAATGTTTAAAACTATTAATGTAGGGTAGAAGGATACTCCAAACATCAGCATTATTTTACAAAGAAGAAAAGCAGTTTTGAGGATTCTGGGAAGATGGGAGAGCAGGAAGCACCAGGAACTTGTATCCACGCCTAGACAATGCCACTGGTGGAATTAGCTGAAAACTGTTTTGGACCTTTGGATTCTGTTGAAAGCTTGAAACTGATAGGAGAAGGTTTGGAGGGTAAGTTGTGGTTAATTTTGGTGAGTTTCAGCCTTTAACACAGTGGCAGATACCCAGCCCTCCCACCCCTGCCCC